CGGGTGAAGCTCGCTTCCACCTTCGGCCTGTGTACTTACCATGAGTTTACGTTAGGTGTGCTCGCTAGCGAGTATGTCAAAAATCTCTATGAAGATTTTGTTTCTTGAAAGTAGCCGCTAGGGGCGCTGCACAATATGTCATACAATTAAATGTCATTTTTTTACGCAGTCGCTAGCGAGCACGCCTAACGTAAACTCATGGTAAGCACACTGATCGTCACTTACCATCAGGTGAGATACAGGCCAAGAGCTAAAAAAAACTACTCACGCTGCTTTGATACCCAGCCGATACAGGCGTGTCTTTCTTCGCAAACGGCGTGTGTCCGGGCGGGTAGTACACCGCCGGGCCGGTCACGTTGCGGCTGGAGCCGACAGGGGGCGCCGGTTTGGCCCCGGGCGCGGCGTTGTCCCGGGCGGTGGACCTCTCGTGGGTGACCTCGACCTTACGTCGGGTGATGCCGTCTGGCTGGGTCGGGAAACGCTGGGGGGTTGAGAAGGAATCCAATTAAGACGGTATTTTTTAAAATCATACGATAGCTTATGGAAAAAATGGTGTAGATTTTGCGCTGGGGAATATTGTCATATCATCCACACTATAGCTTGGTCAAGCAAACCTAAACAGGAGGAGTCCAGAAATTGTTTCACTCTTAGACTATTTCCCCCGCTGCAACTCCTGCGTAGCCAGGATCTACAGCTTGACCGCCAATAAAACCCAACCAGTGAAGGTCGAGTTTAAACTGTTATTGGACCCGCAACGAAATTAATCAGAAGAACATTCCTATGTTCTTCTGATAAAGTAGGAGTTCGAAATTAAGGCTAGACTTCCCTCCCATTGCAAAGTGGATGACAGGCATTCACTCTAGCTAGGAGAGAGGACGAGGATAGTTATGTTACATTTCTTCCAGTAAGTATATTTATTTATTTATTTATTTATTCTAGAAGGCTGCTTGCCCAGATAGCAAGCGAACTTGCTGCAAACATGATTTTTATTTGAAATTAGATTGTCACGTCAAATATGACAAATCAAGTTTGTGGCAATATTGCTGTAAGCTTTTTGATTTAGGTATGATGTTTCAAGGCTTTTTTAATTTTGAAGCAAGTTTGCATTTTGCGCTATGTTTCAAAGATGAAGTATCAAGTTTGTTTTTTGTTTGTTACAAACTTGCGTTAAACTGTCATACGCATGGAGCAAATAATCAGTGTTGCCAGAAGGTTACTTTTGTAACCTTTTAGGTTACTTTTGAACTGCATTGGTTACACTAATGAAAAGGTTACTTTTAGGTGATTTTTCAGAAATTGTAGAATTAACTTTTACAGGTTATTCAGTAAAAATATTAATAGTGACAATTTAAAAATTATGTCATAAACTGCATTTAAACATGAATTTGATTTATTATTTGTTAAAGACAATGAGTTTTAGCAAATGTTTTTTTGATAATAAAACGCAAATCCATGAAACGGTTTTATNAACGCTCTTAATTTTATTTTAGACTTTATTCCCATATCTACAGCGTCAATATTAGAACGCGTCAAGTTTCTTATAATCCGGAGAAAAGTTTGTCAATTTGTTTTCGATGTTATGTCTATTGAGTTAAAGTCAGTTTTCGATTGAGATAGCAATTTAAATACTTCCTACACCAAATAATTGTTGTTCCAGCTTTTTAATGACGGATTATAAGTTGTATGGAATGCATACATCGAGGCAGTTTAATTATCGGTCCCTAGAAACCGGCTAATCGTACCTTCAATGGAAGTTTCGAGTCTTATTTTCACTCTAATAAGGTTGAATTTAAAATGATAAGTAAAAGATTTAACCCTTAAGTGGTCGAAGAAAATTATAGCTTTACTTTATTTCTCGGAATGTGGTAACGCATTTAACACCTTCGAAGTGGGTATTTTGTAGTTTTTAGGCTTTGTCTTTACTGAGTAATTTATCACAGATGACTTTTGACCGACTATTTAAGATGGACCGACGACCTCTGACGGAAGGCGCTGGATGCAGGCTGCCATCAACCGGCCATTGTGGAAATCATTGGGGGAGGCCTATGTTCAGCAGTGGACGTCCTGTGGCTGAAATGATGATTATGATGATGATGAGATGACTTTTAAAATACCAAAACAACAATACGTTTAGCGTCTCTCAATTCAAAATAAGTAAAAAAATCTTTTTTTTAACTAGATTTTCTATGTCCACCTTCAGCCCAATCATTACTTTTCATCAGGTGAGACGGAGGCCAATAGCTTCTTCAGTTTAAAAAATCTTTAATTTGTTGTTCTAATTAAAACGAATAGTTACTGTCTACTTATTGATTGAAACTTTTAGCTAATCAAAAACTTTAATCATTATAAAATTCGTTAATGGATCAAAGAGTTTTGGAGTTTTTTGAAACTTCAACCGCAAAGAAAAAGGGTAGGTTAGAAAATCTTCAATATCTTCAAAAGTACCTAGTAATAAGCTAGATTTATAAAATAAGGACTAAATTAATTTAAGCTTTTTTTTTAAGAGTAGGCGCACACCGTTGGCCGATAGTTGTGCCCGATTTTAATTTGTATGAAGAATCGGCCTAATCGAATCGGCGTAGTGTGCGCACTCCCATACATGCCCATACTGATCAATTGCCCGACTAAACTATCGGCCGACGAAAAATCAACGGTGTGCGCCTACTCTAATACTAATAAAATTGCGTAGCTTTTTCACTATGTTTCGTTTCATAAAGCTAAGTTTGTGAATACGCCTGAAAAGGTAGAATTTAGAGCGTTTCTATTACTAAACCGTGCATCTGCTATTGTTTACCTAAATTCACATTCATAATAAAGTTATTTTCAGTCAGATTTTCGAAGATATAGTAGATTTTCTAACCGATCCTATTTCTCTGCGGCTCGTTGTAGTTGTTTTGCAAGTATTCTTCGTTATTCTTCTTCCTGCTACTATCCTTAGTAAACTCGAGTTGTGTTCCACTAAACAGCAAACCCTCATTGCCACTCAGACGTAGGTAACAAGTCCTGTCGTGTTAGTTTTCACGCGCTCTGCTCATGCAGTGTCCTTGCTCTGAGTCATGTGCACTAGTTTGGGTTGAGTGATGAGTGAGCGCGGGCTGGCGGGTTAAGGGTTAACAGGATTTGTTGTTTTCTGTTGATTTTTAAGTGATAAAATAATGGAGTGGAGGCCACGTAGGCCTCATAAAGGTAACGGGAAGGCGCTGGATGCAAGCCGCTACCAACCGACCTTGGAAATTATTGGGGAGGCCTATGTTCAGCAGTGGACGTCCTATGGCTGAAATGATGATGATTGATGAAAATAATGTGTTTTTTTTTTCAAGGAATTAAAGGTTTAACGGGAAGTATTTAGTCGTATTAGGGTTTCAAACTGTGAGGCAGTCATTCAATTTTATTCTTGATTGTTTATGTTCCCGAGCAATAAGAGAGTGAAGACAACCCTCTCTTATTGTCTTATTTGGGAAATGAAGAATTAAGCATTTGGAAGGCGCTGGATGCAGGCCACTACCAAACGGGCAATATGGAAATCATTGGGCCAATGTTCAGCAGTGGACGTCCTATGGCTGAAATGACAGTTAACCACAATGGCCGGTTGGTGGCGGCCTGCATCCAACGCCTTTCAGCTACCTTTATGTGGAAATCATTGGAGGTTGCCTATGTTCAGCAGTGAACGTCCTATGGCTGAAATGATGATGTTAACCAGTTAACCGCTGCGTCTCGTCACTTAACCCTCAAACGCGGGAGTGCGTCAACCTCTGAAGTGTTCGGTCCACTCGTCGCCCACTTGTTTGGCGGCGCATTAGCCTCCGATGGGCTTCGTCTTTTAGAGATCCCCTCTGTTAATAAAATTACATTTGGAAAACTGTAAAAAAAATCTTCTTTGCCCTAGCCCTTCTTCCTATTATTTGCGATCGACGCTCCTTGTTTCTGGTAAAAAAATAAAAAAATAATGAAAAAAGTTGACAGGAATCTCAGGTGAGTTGACGGCGTCCCTTAGTGACGTCAAAGACGGTTGCAAGTTTGAGGTCTGCTGGGGGCAGGTGCTAGAGTAAAAATTTAATATTAGTATAGAAAGACTATAAAAGAAGATGATGAATGAATTTATAATTACATAGAAGTACCTAGTCTAGGTAATTAAGTCTAGCACTTCATTGTAGTAAATACAGCTAACCTAGATGCATTTAAATCCAAAATCTAGGATCTAGGTGCAGATGTCGAATTAAACACGCTGTCGGAGAATGAACTAAATCCGTTGAAAATAGCTGCATTAGCAGGGCTGGCACTGAACAGGTTAAATAATTAATTTAGTTACAACACCTTACAATTTCTTTGTCTTGAGTTCCTATCTTATTAATATTATAAATGCGAATGTAACTCTGTGTGTCTGTCACCCTTTCAGGCTGAACCAATTTAGATGAAAGGTATATAGAGAAAGTAATAGACCAAGGGAAAACTTGAGATAGTTTTTATCCTGGTTTTTTAAAAAGGGAACAAAATTGTATTTTTGTTGTAGCCCAAGCCGGGGTAAAGCCGCTGGCAAAAGCTAATATGTTACAGTTTTTCCTATTCACCAGTAAGAATCTATCCACTGTCATTCCAGTCAATAAAACGCGGCCAGTGACGTTTGAGTCCCAGAAAATCCTCTGCTAAAAACACCGGCGTGTTTGCTACCAGCGACAACTCAATTTTGAATTGTTCGAGAATACACGAAAACGACCGTTGGCAACGAACTTCATGTGTATTCGCGAATTTGGCAATTTCAAATTTGAAAATAGAACCCTTTGCCGTTGATTAACAAAAGACTGTTTCGTTTTTGTTTCTTTCTTCCTCCATACAAGATATGACAGACGCAAAAAAGTCCGGATATCGTCGCAGAAATGTAATTTAGCTCCCTCAAGCTTAATGTTGTGGGAAAATTCGTGTTTCCCCGACAGATGGCAACCCTGCAGGGTGTCGGAGCGTAAGAATCTCCCGCGCTTTGAGCACAGTACCCTCGTGGAGGAATGGGTCTAAAACTAGTGCTCTCGATCCGAGTGCTTCTGGGTTTAGGTTTGTTACGTTTAATTCGACGGTACTAATTCATAAAGATTTATTCTCGTTTAAGGGCAGATTTTTCAATCGTCAGATATCTTTTAACTGAAGAATAACCTTGTCATTTTGACATAAAATACGTATTTCCTATACAAACTGTCAATGTGCCAAACATATTCTTCAGTTATCCGACGATTGAAAAATCAGCCCTAAGAGGCTTAAGATCAGCTTATAATGATACGTATTTGATTAATAAGGTCACGTCAATAGTCGTGCATAATTTTGATTTATTAATTACTTTGAATTTGTTTTATGATCATCATGTGGGCGGTAATTATCTCGTACTTGATACATTTGAATTTTTAATTAGAAGCAGCAGCTGACCTGTTTTTGTCAGCCTGTTTAGAAGCCTTACCGTATCCGTATACCCCAATCATCATCATCATCATCATTATAATGTCATTTAATCTCGTCTGCAAGAGCACGACCCTCTTTATAATTTACTATTACATTTTAATTAAGTAATACCAAATTACAAATACATTAATTCTACACTATAACTTAGGACAAAAAACATAAAATCAGTAGTTAGGTCCTCACCGCAAAAGGACTCAACCGATATTAAAATTATCGAATCGATTTCAACACTCGAATAAATGAATGTTGAAATGGATTTAAATTGGACAGAATTATAATTCGCGTAATAATTTAAGTAACGCTTTGAAAGTTGCAAATTACAAGACTGTACGCTTCCCACGCTTCTATTATGAATTTGAATATTCTTAACGCAATCATTATTCGGGACAAGCAAGTGTCTATGAGTTGGTCTGTTTATTTAATCACAAACATTAACTAGAACTAGCTGCTTGTAATAAATAATTATCACTTAATTCTACCGCGAATTTAATTTCTCCCATTTGAATCGTTAAGTTTAGGAACTCGTCAAGGGCTCTGTTTTAAATGCTCTACTTGATCTGGGTTTACTTGAGTACCTGATTCTATCAAAGTATTTTATGATTTGAGTGATCCTGACCAAGGTTTGTACATTCTAAAACGGTGACCTTTGTAGTTGAACTTCATATTTAGACCAATTAGTAGCAAAAATTGTAAGAAGCTATTAACTTTCAATGATATTACAGGCTCAAGTAGATACAATACGAGTACCTACTCTTAGAATGAGTTGTATATTGTTATAAAAACTAAAACTCATTTATTTTTGCAAGTAGGCTTTTAAAAGGCACTTTTATACGTCCCAGTATTAACCCTACCACTGCTTCGGGACAGTAAATGGGCCAGTGCTGAGAAGAAGCAGCGCAAGAAACTAATGGTACTACTATTATTAATTATTCTGTGACTAAAGTCACTAACACAAATCGACTTTAACAGCAACTCAGGATAAAAACGAGTGTTTTTTTAATGGTTTGACAGACTTTTGACGTTTGACTAAAGTTACAGTAAAATAATGCAAGGGTTAAAGTAGTTAAAACTGGCATATTTGCTAACTTAACGATATTCAACACGGCGGAACCTTTACACAAAAAATATTTTTTAAAACTTGACCAAATGTCGTATCAATAAAACACAGAGATGTCCAATTTTATTTTTAGGCGCTCCTTTTAGGGACGCCACACACGGCCGACAGATGGCGCGGTTAGCGGACAGATTGTAACGAATTTACGATTGTCTTACCAAGAATTATGACAGACCTTTTTAAGGATCGGTTACACCATCTTACTTTAACTTTAACAAATGTCAAAAATCTGTTAGTCTATACAAAAAACATCGGTTATCGTTAAAGTCACTGTTAAAGTTCGGTGTGGTGCAACTCAGCCTACGATATTATTTTAAACGAACTGCCTGTAAAAATATTTCGAGACACCGACAGTAAAATGAAGTCCGAGCTGGATTGGTTAAATGAAATATTCATTTATGAAAGCATTTAATTAGTATTTTTGTATTATTAACAAAATAACATGATCATATAATAAACTCTTTAGTTTAATAAAAACAATACGATCATATTTTAAAATTGTAATTAATTCGAGGATACTTAATATTGGCTTGATGTTTCGTACGAGCATGTTCGTGTCGTGTTCGTGTTAATTATTAAAATAATTATTGATAATTTTGGCTTGAAATGGCCAATTTTTCATGCGTCTTTTTCTCTTTAATTATTTTTAACTATGAATGATTGGGGGAAGACTTGATTAGCAATGGACTTCATGTAGCTGAAATTATCATGATGATGATTTATTTCTCTTATCTGTTCTTTATGTAGAACAAGGCAGGTATTTGACTGCAGTCGCCCTTGATGTTATGTGATCTAGACAAAAATAACATAAAGCTTAACCTTCCTTCTGGCGCAGTCGGGTAAATAGTCGTTAATGAGTAGCCAGCCTTAGCATTCACATTGGCCTTAAAAGGAGGCTAACGAGGATCGATTGGTTTCGCTTCGATCGATTTATTGATCCGAATTGAAAATCGTGATAAGTGTCACCACTCACCCACACGAGTGTTAAAACTCAATCTGTCATCAGTGGGTAGGAATGATTTTGTGATTGGTATTTTGCATTGATGTTTTATTGCAATCAAATGACTTATGTAAGCTAACATTAATAGAAATAAATGTTAAATTATTGCACTATTCGAGGCTGTTCTGTGGTCACACACAATTAAATCAAATCAAATACAAATAAATAAAAAATAAATTGTGAATGTACCAAGTGTATGGCAAAATATTTTAAATAGCTCATTCTGGTTTACTATATTTGATTTTTAGAAACGATGAAATAAGATAAAATATCACGTTTGACTTAAGAAAATAAATTATGATTTGACCTGCAGTTTACACAATCTTTTCTTGTTCCAGGTCTGTCCTGCGCCGCTGGCTTCCAGCAGCAGTACTTCAGGGTAGTCCCTCGAAGCCTGCGAGTGCAGGAGGGCTCTGAGGCCGTGCTAGAGTGCTCGGTGGCCAACCTGGCGGGCCAGGTGCAGTGGGCTAAGGATGGATTCGCTCTTGGTAAGTAAACAACATCATAAGCATAAGTTTATATGCGGATCAGACAGTAATGACCTTACTCCCTCAGCTATAGAGGACTGCTGTGGACACCCTCAATCTAGGGCACATAGGACCTTAAGTCCCTCAGCTATGTAATGACCAAAAGGAACATGGTACCTGAATACGCAAGGCTTAAAGAGATCAAGCCATTAAAGCCACCAAGAAGCAAAAAAAGTTTACCAAGGTGGCCAAAAAACAGTAAGCACCTTCTTAGAAAAAAAGTCTTAACAGTGTATGTTGCCAGTGATGACATAAGTACGGAATACGTAGTCGCTTACTATGGACCTAAGGCTCAAGGTCACCTAAACGGCGATGGAGGTTGCTATGCTTAGAGTTTTCCTGCGTGATCGAATCAGAAATGAGATCCACAGGAAAAACAAAGTGACCAAGAATTGTTAAACTTAAGTGGCAGTGGACAGGGCACATAGCTCGTAGAACTGATAACCGTTGGGTCAGACAAGTTCTCGAGTGGCGACCACGGATTGGAAAACGTAGTGTATAACTCTGTAAGCTATCTAGCGCTGCATGCTTCAACAGTCTGAATAGATGACAGACTTTCGTTTTAATTTCCAAAATGGAGCAAGAATTTTGCTTACGATAGCTTCTCTATCCTATAACTCGATGACATCAGGCTACATTTTTGTTGCAAAATGGCCTCTATTACAACAAGATAAAGTACCAGTGTTTACCTGCAAGTCAGGATTATAATGTACGATAGCGCTACGTATTGTCTTCAACGGGTCGCACGCTCTCCCATACAAACGGGTTAGCTTTGGCGTCCATGCACTTGATTGTGGAGTGAAATCCGTCTGTGTTAGGAGTTCAAGCGATTTGTTTTTAGATGAAACAAGAAAGCTATTAATGAGCCTATTTTCACAATACTAATAGGTACCGACAACTATAATTTAGTTCAAAATCTCAAGTCTATGTTATAAAATAATGTCCAACTTATATTCAATCTTGCCATTAAAAATTAGTCTATATTGAAATTATTAGAGGCCGGTCGATCTATTCTCATAAATAAAACACTGGATACTTAACTTTCACAGTATATTGCCTTAATTTAAATACAATTCATCACTTAGCACAAAAGCGCGCGGAGTCGTCTCCGCGCGTCCCTCTATTCTGACGTTTGATGCTAGCGTGACATTGACGTATTGTCAATGTCACTATGACAGCAACTCATTGGCCACAACTATACCGTTATTTTAACGTTTTACATTTTTCATAATTAACAAAATACAACCATAATAATCAAAAGCGGCAAATAATGACTCTAAAGGTTCCGGGTTTTCCCTGTGGGGGGAAAATTTTCTGCTCATTTGGTAGGGCTTATACTAAGTCCACTAGCTAGCTACCACCATCTTCGTTTGTTTCAGCCAAATGACGTCCACAGCTGGACAATGGATTTCCACAATAAAAGGTCCTGCGCTGACCACCATCTTACCAATGAACTATCTCCTCAATCTTCACTGACATACCTTCACGGAGCTGACCTTAACTTTTTATTTAATAAGGTATGTCACAAGTCCTGATTCCGTAGCTTTATTTTCAAAATTTCAACCGTCAAAAAAGTGCATTACTCGATCCCTTATCTTATGTCTTAAACCTCAAAGGTGGACCTACTCCCAAATCAGTGTGTATTTTCAGGTCTATCTGTCACTATCACTCATGCTGGCATCTTGCTTCGCACAAAGGGGATGGATGCTAAACTTTGGATGACTTTATAGAAAGTGAAGTAGCACCACAAGCAAATCCGTAATGAATTATCGGGTCTACCTTTTACTATCCCTCATGCTAGCATCTAGCTTCGCGTGAAAGAGATGGGTATATTCGAAACTTTGAATGACGTAGAGAACAGAGTAGCACCTAGCACAGGGCGTCACCTGCCATCCGACAATTGACCCGGGCCAAATTGGCTCATTCATGCATTTGTATTCTGTTGCCTGCACTGTATAGTTCTGCATTGTACAGCACTTGAAGCTACAATTTTCGGTGGAAATTCGATCTTATTTCAACTACATAAGAAACCACAACGTTTCACTTGACATATCATCGTCTGTACGTTCAAACCCTACACAAAATAAAACTAGAAGGAAAAATATGTAAACCTAACCTAGATATTTATTTATCAACTCGTAAACAACTGAATTCGCAGAACGGTAAGGTACTAGTTGATACGGCGAACTTTATACCGCCCATGTTCATCAGGAATTTTGTAGGATTCTTATTGTGAAATATTTTTTAAACTCCGTCTTGTAGTTTCAATACAAACAACAGTCAAAACTTTTCTAAGATTGGGATCTAAGGTCCGTATTAATTAAGACTAGTGACTCGATTCAATATCATTGTTAGTCACAGAGCATTTAGGATTGCTGACATACAATTTAAGCACTAAAGTTAACCAATCAAAACATTTTTAAGCCTGAAATCTAATCAAATTTAAAGCTTCGTTCAGCAAAACTGTTGATTGACTAATAATATTACAATATAATTTAAAAATTGAAACTTGTATGAGATTACCAAAATCAATCTCACGCCAGCGAAACAAGTAAAAACAATTAACACAATCTATGACGCAATCGAAGCCCGTGCTAAATCCGATGGTACAAAAGTAATTTTGGACGTTGAAAATTATTTAGTCACAGGCCGAGTGCGGTACCAAGTAATTTTAAGTAGAAAAGGCACGAAATCTATGATGAATCGGTGAAATCGATACCGTGGATGTGAGTCACGCGAAGAAGTAGCGGTGCGAGTGTCGAACCTTATGTGACTCCTTGTATTGCAATAGCTATTAGAATACAAGATGTCTGATCCGGGCCGTATTCTGTCCGCCTTTTTAAGCGAATTGTAGCCTATAGCTAGGTATAAGTGTCCTGAAAAGAGTCTAAACACTAATAAAGAGTTTGATTTAGAAATTGGTCATAAGTGTCTCCCAAAGAGTACTTATGCATGTCTTAGACTAAGTTTGTCGTGTGTCTACTCAAGAACAGACTAGTTAGTTTCTGTGAGAGTAACCACCTATTTTGCTACATATTAAACCATTTTAGGATATAATTTCTGTGTAGTGAAAAATTTTGGTGAAATTTTAGAAAACATGTTTGCGAAAGCTTCTTAAAATATTATTATCACATCATAAACATCAACTTCAATTGATCTTACTAAATTCTGTGAACATGATCTTGTGGTTTTATTTCAAATAAAAAGACTTGACAGATAATTTAATATTTTGCGAAGACTAGACTAGAAGATATGAAAAAGTTAGCTTGAATATTAGCTGTATTGTTAGATATTTTTAATAGGGCGCTTTTGATCCAGTTCTAGTAATTTAGTATTTTTCTGAAATTTAATATCACAGTAGTTACCTATCAAATTAATTTCAATTGAAAGATTACAGGAAATACTAATAGAAAATTTGCGCCTAATAACTGTGGCAGTGACGAATTCGTTAAAATATTAATTAGAAGAAGAAAGGAAAACCTTTTTATATTGCTCCCAAATTAAATTATGGAAGCAACAATATTGGGTGTAGATCATATTATTGTTGAAAAACTATGGCAGATGAAATAAATAATAGTATATTAGTAGTTACATTGAAAGATCTTTTAATCTTTTTTTTAATCTTTTGGACAATTTCACACAGCGCCAGCTAGCCCCAAAGTAAGCAACTTCGGGGCTACTAATATTTCTTTACTTTATTCATCTCTGTAAGCTTTTGTTTGTTTTAACTTCTATGTGAAAAGGCTCATAATCTTTAGTTAGATTTCTTATTGACCGCTAGTTTAAAAATTGTGTTATTTGTTAAGTGACGTCTTCCTAAGTTTTTGTTTTGTGATTCAATCGTCATTCATATAACTTTCCTTAATAAAATGACTGTGGATTATTAATGAAATTTATTTGTAAATCATCAGCTTATTTCATGTGTTTGTCAAGATTATTTTCTTCTCATCTAAATATACTCGTACATGTGTATTATTTTAGAAACTCATTACCAAATCATCGACTTATCTCTCATCGTGGTCCTTCTTAAGCTCTCTAACGCCCGTATTCACAATCATTACTATGAGGTCTCACAGTGCGCGTGGACGCACAGGGTCACACATGATCCAATCACAGAGCTCTATTCAACGCTGTGCGTTCGATTTTCCACTTCTCTTAAACAATGATCTTTTGTGAATGAAATGTGAATACGGGTATAAGACTCATTTCTCATCGTAATCTTCCTTCCAGGGTTCTCCTCCGTCATCCCCGGCTACCCTCGCTACACCATGTTCGGGGACCGTCGCCATGGAGTCTACAACCTTCGCATCGTCAACGCTTCCTTGGAAGACGATGCGGAGTACCAGTGCCAGGTCGGACCGGCCCAGATGCACAAGGTCATCAGGGCGAACGCCACGCTGACTGTTATATGTAAGTAATTTTGAATATTTTGCTTAAATTATAATATTATTATAGATCGTGCCATCCATGAAGACGCGCCCCACCATTCTTCCGCTAATGTTTGAGTGTTATCGGTATACGCTAAATTATCCATGAGTGCACACGCACACTACAATAATAATGCTCGGATTGCTTAGATCAAACTCCCCGCACCCCGCGCGACCGAGACCAAAAATTGGTGGGGCGCGTCGTCGTGGATGGCACGATCTATATAGATAATAACTGACCCGGTGAAATATGTACCACCAGGTAAAAGTAGCGCCACCTTACGGATCTAATGGTGTGTTCGAACCATCCAGGAACCTATTGAAATGTACATACAAAGTTTCAAACAAAACGGTCCAGCTGTTTAGGAGGAGTTAGGTGACTAACACACGTACAGAAGAATACGAGTATTTATGGTGTATTGTGCCACGATTATCATAGGTTTCTGATTCACAACGAACTTCTATAAAAAAACGTGATTTCTTTGTAGCGCGAAGAACCTATATTTCGTTTTTAGTTGACTATAAAATTAGATGCTGTTTTTATAAAATCAATAAACCATTAGACAATAAATACTAGATGTCGAATAGTGACTGATTTATATTGATTTAAGTAAATCAATAATCTATGGAGGCTTTATAGCTTTAAGTGGTGTGTCATTGAGTGGTGTACTACCATAAGTGACATAATAGTAACCAAAAGTAATTATAGTAGTTCGTTCAACAGGGTCCTCCCTATGTTGTTCCAAAGTGGCAGTAGGGAGCTATATTTAAGACGTGCAAAAGCGCTTTTTAAAAGCCTACTTGCAAAATTAAGTCAATTGAAATTGAATGTAGTAGCAGTAGTAGTTAGACATGGATTTCTGGACAAATTGATAAGCATTCCAAGAAAGTACGAAAATTGTAGACTATGAAATATTTTCTTTTCATATTTTGCTTCTTATCCAAATGGAGTAATCTGACATTTCTAAACATTATTATCTTACGTTATACTTTTGTTTTCCATCCAGATAAGTTATTTTTATCGTGCGGCTTTTGTCTTATTGGTAAGAATAAGGCTTTAGATGTATAAAGGTACCTGACGTGACCTTTAAAGGGCGTGGTAACATGAAATGAATGTGTAATGGATGTAACTCGTGTTTCTAGGGAATCATGAGCGTTGAGGATGGATTAGATTTACACAGAAATGTTTAGTTTGTTTTACAAGTTACAAAATGTACCTGTAAAGGTATGTTTATCACTTGAGGATAATTCAAATCAGTGAAACGTTTTTTGCGGAAATGCTGAAAATATTTTTTTAAACGATCAGCTCTTGGCCTGCATATCACCTGATGGGAAGTGATGATCAGGCCGAAGACGGAAGTGAGCTTCAATAAAACTTATTATACCTAGTGTGTATTTTGATGAATATTAGTCAAGGTTCGAACAAACCAACACGTGCAACCTGCATGCGCAATGGCGATGAGTAAAAATCAGTAGGATCGCCATCGCCATCTCGCTCGCAGGTAGCACGCGTTGGTTTGGCCGAACCTTCAGTATTAAGAAGTCCTTTCTCATCGTAAGAAATTTCCCTAAACTTGTTTCTATAGTTGCAGGTTCAAATCCCGCTAAGTGCAAACATTTCACTAATGAAGTTAAATATTTTAAACGCTAGTTATGTAAATACGGCTCAGTGAGCCAATTATTCACCGCAAATTGAATTACAGAAATAATCAAAGGATGATATCGCTAAAATCAAATTCAATCAATCATGAAGATGGAATAGCTTTTTGCAATTAATTAATTTACTCTGAGCCTGGTAACCGACCGAGAAATTATTCGCAAAGTCTGTAATCTCTTTGCTATCTTTCAAGGGTAATAAAAAAACTAAAACCCAACTACGACAAAAAACGACGCTAAAAAAGTATAAAACAAGATTTTCAGAATACTGAACTGTGTGCCTACCATGAGTTTACGTATGGCTTTGCCGTAGTCGGGTAAAAATAATCAATAACTAAATTCTATCTTTGTTAATGATATTAATACTTCAATCCTTTTTAACCGAATTTATTCTTATTTGTATTAATTTGGAAATTGCAAAAAGAGGTACAATTATTTAACCCTTAATCGAATATTGGGAAACAATTTCCCACTAAAGTTATTTTGTGCGAATACCATACAAAATAATGTTTGAATTGGCTCATGCAATTGATAAGTATTTTATCATACGTTTTTTAAGACAGAACTCAGGTTAATTTTGAAAAAGTTCCTATGTTTCGGACGCTTTTCTTTAAAAAATCTAGAGTTCTCAAATAGGTATGAAACACTCAGATGAATCATCTCAATGTATTCCTAATTTGCTTAGATTGTTGGTTTATTAACTAAATTGTCCGAAAATAGGATTCTACGTTTCACAGGGCATGTCAAGCTGTCCAATTGAGCCATGTCGACGCCTACAGAGGCTTAGAAAGTTTGACACCAAGTCTCAGAAATTGTATTACAACCCACAAGATTAGAAAAGAAGAATCGCAAAGATTATGTTGTAGGTGTATTATGTGGGAGTATTTATTTTTGTAGATAAAATATTAATAAGTGTAAGTACCCATACTTTTCTGGGTTTCTCAAGATAGGAAGATTATTATACGGATAAACTTTTCATGACAAAGCATCTTCTCTATAAAATTTATTTGGAAAAGGCGATTGTACGACTTTTTCAAATTTCTAGCTTTTTCGTGATAGAACAGAAAATCTAAATGTACCTAAACAACAGTTACATATACCACGTTTCAATATCTACTCCCACCTTTTTAATCAAGTACCAAAACAATCGAGCACAAAAATTAAAATAGCGCCACACTTTCCGGAAAAAATCCCTCCTAAAATACACTTCAATTATTATTATCATAAATACTTATTCATCGAGACCTCCAATAGACAGTTATGGCCCATCACTATACATTTAACCCTTAAATCATACCGCGTAAAATATACCTACGTCTTACGTAACACTTAAGCGAAAAGTCTTGTACGTTGAAAGTGGGGGTACTATGAAAGGTTTAGGCATGATTCAGGGGGCACATAGACCTTTATATGTAAAGGACTAGCTTTGGTCGCCCGCTACGCGGGCTACAAAAGCTAGATCTGCGATGCTGGCCGCTCCGGGCTTCGCCCTACGCGGCGCTCGGCCTGCGGCCTCGCATTCGGAGCTCGGCCTTCGGCCTCGCAAAAATTACAGGGGGCGTTTATCGTTCGTGGAAAGGCTCTTTTGCTTTTTTGACGCAACACAAGTAAATCTATGGCGACTGTCGGGATTTGAACCATCGNAGACTGCATTCCAAGTTTATGGAATTTTTGGAAATTTCCATTTTCTACTATCCGGGGCCGTGGAAAATTTTCTTCCAAAATGGTAGTTTTTTCCGATTTGTGGCAACACTCGAATAACAGACCAACAATCGCTCGGAACATTGTACCCCACTCCGGTGTCGCCATCTGCCGGAAAATTGCTACCAAAGTTTGGGAATTTTTTGATCGCAACAAAATGGCCGACGGCTCAGCCGCCATCTTGTTTTTTGATAATCTGTAAATGTGGCCTTGAAGCAGACTATACATGTCACAAACACCTAAAAGAATTTTTCAAAAACAATTGCGCATCTCGGAATGACACCTCCCTAAAAACACCTCGAAATCGCATTTTCAATCCAAGATGGCGGCGCGGCCATTTTGTTTTTCTTTTTTTTTCTCACATTTTTTAGCACACCTTGGCAACCCCAACAAACCACCAAAAAAGAAAAAATTCAGGACCACAGACAAAAAAGTTGGTGTCTCAAAAAATGCCGCCATTTTGTTTTTTGGTTCAAAAAATATAATAAACCTGTGAGTCAAAAAATCTAGTTTAAAACAAACACTAACAATTTTACCCCTCTCCCCTCTAAATACCCTAAAAATACCCCTGATCAGTCAGTCAGTCAGTCAGTGGTAATCGAGCTTTATATAATATAGATTGGATGATTTCAACACTGACGTTTGGAATTAAAGGGAATGTAACTTGTTTCGGTTTAGCGTTATGTAAAGATAGGGATAGGCAGTTATCGATGTTTTTATGGCGTTATTTTATACATAAAGGTTATTAATTGTTTACTTATATCTCAGAAGAGTTTTGGCAATACTATCAGTTCTATGCTGTTTTTCTGTCAAACATTTGGGCCGAAGAAAGTAATATTGTCTCTTCAATGTTAAATCTACTTATAAAATATATCTTTGAACCAAATGTAATGGCAGACCTTGTTACGATACTGTAACAAATTTTAAATTCGACACAAGTAATAAACACTTTTGTCAGCTGGCTAAAATTGACATGAACTGTCTATTTTTACGGTTATTGGCAAAGATTTCCAATATAGATTTTGTAACGGTCTTTCACAGCCACTAAATCATTTTAAATATCATTTCAAGTAAGTATTTTACCAACACAAATTATTTTAATTACCTACTATCATACACAGCACAATACCTAGTACGCCATTATAGAAACTTCACAAAGCATTCCAAACTCTTTTGTGCTAGACAATATCTTGCTAATATTTTACAGTGGCAGATAGCAAAAACAAGGAATTTCAAAGCCATCATAACAGGTCGGATGTATAATGAAGACGAAACTTTTGGCGTTACCAACTTGGAACATTAATACTATCTTGCCCTTTGAGATGTACTTTCAGAATTGAACAAGCCTGGTGATGTGACTTGATAAGTGATTTATCGATCTGTTTATACCATTTTCATAACCCATAACATCTTTAATTATTATTATTATTTGTATCTCTCCTATGGATAAGCAATGCGCGGAGGCCGGTCCTTTTGGAAGTCGTTCATGGGGATACAGATCCAACATGAAGAGGCCCCTTCGAGATACGATAATGTGTTGGGATGTGTACACCTAGCGGATACTATCTTTTCCTGCACTATTAATGAGATACAGCCAAAGACAGCACCCGCTAAGTTCAAGGACTA